GACTCCACGGCAACATCCTCAGCACACAGTACTGTCTTTCAGTGGGTTCAGTTTTAGTCAGGAAGGAGACTAAATAAGGCTCCAAAGTTCTCAATGAGCCCGATGGTGGTCCCATTAGTAGCCATTTTTTTAAGCTTGAGCTCACTGTATAAAATGAGCTATTGTGACCTCTAGGATAATCACAGCCTCATGAATCTGTACAACCACAAACTAAAGACCAAGGGCATCCAGAGGACGTATGGCTTTCCTAGGTATATTGATAATAGGGAGGTTTCTGAGCAGTTTCCAGAACAGTGTCTGAAAAATCTGATCTTTTGATACCAAATAACAGCAAGACCTTGAGGAATATGAACAGCATGTTCCTCAAGGTGTCGGTGTCTTAATGTGGTATTTACGAGGGATTTATGACCATTTTTATCAATTTTCATGTGGTCAGAAATGGCTACATTTTGCACCAAATCTATGTAACAAACTAAATCTAAACAATCTTTGTATCATGATGTTCCAAGCCTTTATACACCCTAAACTTAAAATATTTTAATAGGCCTCCCACCAAAACACAACGTTTATTACAGATTTATGACACAGTGCTAACCCGCATTCTCAAATTAATCTTCAGGTTCCCAGCTTTCAGATGATGTAAACTACTTCTATGTGGCATATATTGTTGACCGGCTATCTCCCACTAAAAATCCCCTGCCCCCCTTTTCCTAAAATGATTATTACTGTAAGGAAAACTATTCTCAGTTATTATTATTATTATATTTGCTAGAATTACATTTAGTTACATGCTAAACCTTCATTTGGGTGGCTGTGGTAGAGTGGGCCGTCTAGTAATTGGAGGGTTCCCTGGTTGGGCAAGATACTGAGCCCCAAACTGCTCCTGATGGCTGTACCCTCGATGTGTGTATTGTTCAACCTAGTATCGTCGTGAGCACTTTGTTTAACGCTCCAGATAAGCACTTGGTGCCTTTCATGGCAGCCTCTGCCATCAGTGTATGAATGTGTGTGTGAATGGGCGAATGTGACAAGTGCTGTGTGGCCCTTTGTGTTGTCTGAAGATGTATAAAAAGCCTATTTATCATTTAAACCTAACTAATGGGATATGAAATGACTATATCCACTAGATCCAAAACTGGATACATACTGTAATGTCAAGGCCATTACTTTTATATAAAATCTATGTTTTTGTATTTAACTGGAGTCTCTGTCTTGTTGTAGGACATAAATCGTAAGCAAGTCTTCTGTGGTTTTTGTTTATGTGTAATTTATGTAGTTGCCTGGTGAGTGTTACTACCCTGAGCATGAGTGCTTTTAATTAGAACAAAAAGCCTTTGCGTGGGATTTAAAATCACCGAGTGATTAGAATTAGCAGACCTCTGGGCCAGGTTCAGCATGCGTGTTAAAGAATACGGCAAGGACAGAAAACGATTTGCATGAAGAAATAAATGTGTAACTTTGAATGAGTTCCTCCTTTATAGGCTAATCAAAGACATGTCTGTACATACAGCGCCATACTCTGATGAGAAATGGTGATTCAATGAAAAGGCCAAACTTCTTTTATACAACATAGGTGTGACTAATGTGCAGATGTCAGTGACAGAGAGGTGTTTGAGCACTGTCCAACTCTGATGCTGCTTCAACAGTCCTCCCATCCATCCATCTACCCCACACTTTTTAGGGGGTTGTTTGGCCTCACAGCCTCTCTGCCAATTGTCCTTGTCCGGGTCACCACCATGCTGGATGCCAATCTGTCACTGCCAGCTGAAACGCCCATACCCCACGCCTCTTTTTGCCCTCCTAAAAAGCATTTGGCACCAATTCTTCCTGTGCCTGCTGTAGCGAACCCTGCTGCTCTCGCTTAATTAAGTGTTAGGAAAGCCCTACACGGTGGTGGCATGGCGAGAAACGTGGAGGAATGAGGGGAGACAGAGAGGGGGAAAAAAGGAGAGAACCCTATGCGATTTATAACTCCCATTTGCATAATGGGATTAATAGGACCTCTGTGTGTATTCAGCGGTGTGGGCGAGTAGGAAAGGGGGGGGGGTTATAGATCAAGGCAAAGAGAGACAAGTGCAAGAATACACCTGCTTGACTGGCTAGTGACAGGAGTGGCTTGCTCACCCCCTGCCGTGATGTTTTGATAACATGGCCTCTGGGGGAGGGGGCGCCGCAGCGAGCAGACCTCCTCCTTTAACCCCAAGTGTGCTGTGACAGTTGGACCAAATTGTACATCTCATTTATTTACCACAGAGGAGCTGCAGGCATGCATGTACGTCTCCTCTGAGGCCTCGCTCAGATGGCCCACTGTAAACAATGCGGGGCTGAGCACAACATCTTACAGACTGTACGCTTCCATCATCCTACACACAACACAAATTCTGGAGCAGCCTTAATGAAGCTTGTTGAAGTTGGGCTTTATTATTTTCTAATGCCTTATAGATCAGTTATAAGCCATTAATAAGAAAATGGTTTGTAATGCCAGGTTTTTAAAACTATTGACTGACTAAACCAGGGGTCAGTAACCTTTACTAAAAGAATCTTTTTCAAGAAGATTGATTTTTTTTTATATATACAAAAAACTCTATCTGTGCTTTATAATGCTAATTTCTTGCCAGAGACCAGCAGCATTGGTGGTGAAAGCAACCAAATATCTCTCTATTTTTCTCCCAGACATTCCTTTTTTGGATTTAGAATTCATTGCAAGCCTAGCTATTGAGAATCAAGACTGGTATCCACCACTATTAAGATAAGGCAAAATTGCCCCCTATTAGTCACCTGGTAGAGATGGCATCGGATAAACCAAGGCTGAGTCCTTGCTGCAGCGGCCATGGGTTGCTGCGTGTTGTCCCCTCTGTTCATTAAAGGCATAAAAAGCCCAAAAGGCGGGTCAGAACTTAACGTTTGACGCACATTTTAGTTGACCAAATGTTTAAAAAAAATGTATTGTGTGTGCTGGCTACACTTTTTTTAAAAATATACTTTTATTCAAATGTATCATCAATTACAAGGCATTACAAACAACAATAGAGAGTACAGAGAAACACGTATCAAAAACTGCACAAATAAATCCAAATTCTACAAAATAATCAAAAACTTTTGCTTGCGGCACACGTCTGGTTCCACCCACTGTCAGATATTTTTCCTTCCTTGCTTGGGGTTTTTTCTGGTTCCAGGGTCCGCTTCCATGCTGCCACGAGGTCATTGTAGACTTTCATCTTTGATGGATGTTTCCTCTGTGAACAAAAAGCAAACATCATCATATAAATAATCAATACCATGTTTTCATTAAACATACAGTTCAAATATTTTTTATATTAACAGATTCATTCATATTTGTGTCATGTAGAAAGAGTAGACTATATCATGGATGGGTCACTGGCAGACTTTAAGGGTGGTCCCAGATCAGCTGCTTTTATCCTGCATATTAGATTACTGAATGAAAAACATTCACCAATATATCAATCAATCAATCAATCAATCAATCAATCTTTATTTATATAGCGCCAAATCACAACAACATCTCAAGGCACTTTACACATAGAGCAGGTCTAGACCATACTCTTTCATTTCATTTTAAAGAGACCCAATATTAGAACACTAGAAGATTTTTTATTAGTCAAAACTTAATAACTTTTTGGTGCATTTTTCAATGTGTTAATGCACTCATAAGCAATTTTCAACACATATCAATATTAGCATCATTTTGTGTGACATCAAGGAATGTGTCATTTTGATTGTTTAAAATGAAGCTTACTACCAAGTTAGCTAATGTTAACTAGCACTATAAAGCTGGCTGCTAACACTGACATTAGCATGCCATGATTGAGTAAAGTTTTTAATTGCATGAATCCATGATTAATTGCATGTCACGTTATTTAGCTTCACGTGAGGTTATGTTATCTGTACATGCTTGTGCAGGTTGGAAGCAGAGTTTTTGTAGGTGGATAGCTGCGTCTCTTTCAGGATACAGAGTTTACATTGCATGATGGAATTGTTGTCATTCGCGGACTTGAACTCAAAGAAGTCCTTTAAGTATGTCCAGGGATCGGCCTCACGTTCTCCGTGCGTGTCCCAAATTCGACCCTTCTCCATCGATACACTTGTCTCCATCCGTCTCCATCATCTTTTAGCCAGCTCCTCTGTGGCGCCAACGTCTCCACGTTTCTGACCTTCTGGCGCTGCAGTTGTCCAGAGCCAATCAGATGGACCGTTACTGGCACGCAGTTCATCTATTTTATTTCTTTTACTTTGTAACGGAAGCTCTTTAAAATGTAGTGAAGTAAAATTACTTCCAACAATATGTACTTAAGTAAAAGTAAAATTACTGATTTTAAAAATAACTCAAAAAAGTACAAGTACACAAAAAAAACTACTCAATTACAGTAACGAGAGTAAATGTAACTCGTAACTTTCCACCCCTGACTACAAGTAATGGTTGTTCATCTAAAGGAAGCCTCTGCTTTGTAACTTTGTAAAAAATGTTCATCATTCAAGCCCCTCTAACAATCTGGCTACACATTTTTACCATTGGCAAATGTAAGATTACTTACTATGAAGATAAATGAAAATATATTATATTATGCTGTGTGATTATATGTATTTACACTGTGCAACTACCTTTCTGCTGTATCAAATCTTTGTACAGTTCATTCATCTTTCAAGGCAATTTTTTTTTATATTTATATATTTTAGTATAATGCATGTGTGTACTACAATATCTGTGCAATTATTCTGTGCAATTATCCATCAAATCTATCTTTATAGATGAAAGCTTTATATAGTCTATATAACTCTTTTTTTCTATTACTATTTTACTTTTTCTTTATTTTTAATCATCACTCTTTTTCTTGTAGGTGTTGAATCTTGAGCTTTATCTTATCTTATCTGGTGGAACCCCCGGTTAGACCTCTTATAGACAAATAACAGCAATCCGAAGCAACTAATTTGGTGTTCGGAAGGTGAAGCGTTGCATAAAAAGTACCAATCACACAAACAGAGCAGTTGAAAATCCAGGGTATTTATGTTATTTAAAGGACGCGGTCTCTGAGATCACATACAGAAATAACGCATTATTTTCTGAAACGTTAGCTCATATTTGTGGAAATGTTCTCTACATCCTGACAGCAGAACATGAGACAGATAATCTGTGAAAAAATCTGCTTCCTCTGGGACCTCCTTGTGCTCCTAATGGCATTTGCAAATTTGTATGAATGAAAACAACGAATCGAGCTTGTTGAGCTTTAAAGAAGCACAGGGATCTCCAGAACCATGAACACAACTTTAATTACTTATTAACATTTATAACTGCAGACTAAATGGTTTGTTCGTAAATAGGAAACGTACAAGCATTCATCAATGGATTACCAACATTTATAACGGAAATTCAAAAAAAAAACTTGCCAAAAGGATTTTTCACAACCCAAGCCCAAGCTACACATTTCATCAAATCCTGAACACAAATAACAAGACATCACAAATGTTCAAAGATGATTTACAAAACACATCTTCTCCCAAGTTCACTCCACTTCTGTTCTCAACAAATTAAAACTGTAACTATATGATCTTACAGTTCATCATCCATTATAAATTCCATCCTAGTTTTTTTTTTCTTTCTCTTAATATGTCATCTATTATTTAAGTGTTGTATGTTAATAAAACATGTAGTCAGACTAATGCACATTTACCCATTACCACAGTAAGATAGCAAGTTTATGACCTGCAGAGGCCAAACCCCTTATGTTCTGGCCGTTCTTTTTCTAAATTTCAGTCAGACAAATCACATTTAAAATGTTTACTACAGCAGTATAGCATATTTAGATCCGACCTCATCACTCCGCGCAGATATGTTTACATGGACATATTGGGAAGTGATGAGCAAATACCTTAAACCCTAACCAGAGCCTAAAGGTGGATGCTGGGGTGGTGGTGGGGCTTACAGCACAGCAGGCAGCAATAGCTTACAGCGCAGAAGGAGAGCTGGGAAATTTTGCAGTTTAAATAGACCGCCGGATTGGAAGGGTGCGCTTGGTTAGTGATTATGGAGTGAGGCATGTCATGTGTGTATAGCAGCGCAGCTCGAGTTGACTGCCTGAACTAGCTCGCAGGCTTCCCTCCATTAATTAATTATTTCCTGTGGTGGTTGTTGTTTTGTGTGTTTGGTTACCACTATTAATTTGTTTGTTTGTTGGCTCTCTGACATTGCCTGACTGGGTATATGTAAAAGAAAATGTTTATTTTTATATGTAATTAAGCTGTCACATTTAAATTTGAACATGTAAAGTAGGAACAAGCATTTCATCTTTTTTTAATATAAATATCCTTTAATGTTACCTAATGGGGATGGCTGACATACAGTGTGTTGTGATGAAATATGTATTTATGTGTGTGTTTATCTGGATGTACGGGCTTGATCTGGATTATGGCCTGATTTAGTGAGACTTTGGTCTAGTGTTTGTTCTCTTTTCTTTGTTGTGTCTGTTCTCTGTTGTAATAATAATTTAAAACATCTATTGATGCTGTGATGAGATTTTGCATGCATAACCTTAACAACAATTTTCTGAATTATTGAACATTTCGGCAGGTTTAACAAACCATCAGAGAGTAACAAATTACATTTAAATACAGTAATTTATTAAATGAAAGGCAAAACTGTCCACAAAAGATCTAAAAACAAAAGTATGTTTCAGATTATCCTCCATTTCATAGATTCCTCCACTGATATATTTTCTTCGTTCCTTTCCCTCTCTTTATCTCTCTTTATTTCTTTAGAGGTGTTAAAATGCTGAACTCAGGCCAACTTGCCATCACAGACGGGCTATAAATCTCTCCTCCGGTTAAGGCTTTTTCTCCTCCGTTGCAGCCCCCACCACTGTTAAAGTGAAGGCACTGCTCCAAGACCAGCTGTCAGAGCAGAATACACCCATAACCCTCAGTGGTACAATAGAAACTGAACCCCATCTGTGTTGGACCTCCACAACTATGTCTGTTCACTGTAAATGTTCAGCACTTGAACTAGTGTTTAAAAGGTGGTGACATGCATGCAGTTGCCAACTTCAACATTAACTCAAAAGAACATTTTCCTAGTTTGATAGTGTGGCAAACTTCATATTAGATCAGCTATTTCTTTGGAACTTAGAATTTTCTTTGGATTTTTACAAATGGTTGCAGGTATGGGCAGCCAGAACATTTTCATGGCACAAATCTGAAAGAAACTGAAAGAAAACCCTTTACTGTTGGTAGAAGAAGGGATATGAACCGAAGTTACACAGTTTGTACACCCAACCATCAAACCAGAGGTCTTATTCTGAATTTAGATACTATTCACTCCAACCTCTGCTTCTGCTTATCTGTGTGTTAGCGCTAGAAAAAAACTGAATTAACTAAATCAAGAACTCTTCAATATGAGGCAGTTTTGTCAAACAAATGGGACTACTCACAAAGGAGTCAACTTGGGTCAAATGTGGAACAACACAATCTTATCACACACATGAAGGGGCCAACCAAGATGTTGCCACTGAGTTTGAAAATGAGCAGCAACCACACAAGTAGCTAAATCGGTGAGTGCCACTCCCACTAGTACAAAATGGTTACAACAATGATGTGAAAAGAAACACTAAAAAACCAAACATGATAAAGTTACTGTGTTAGGCCAGGACCAAGTGCAGTGCAAACAGGAGAATGCAACAATGTTGACAGTTGAAAGGAGGTAACACTAACTGGTCTCCAATATAGAAGCTGCATATTTCCAACTACCCAGACCTCCCCCCCCAAGACTTTATCTGAGGTATAAACAGGGCTGTACTGGGGGTTAAACATATGTAAACGTTGTATACTAATAGCACTTTTATGATGCTTTACTCTTGTTGGTACCTTGTCCTAAATGAGGATGTCAACTAGTGACCAAGTCCAGCACTCAGTCCAGAGCCTGGCAGCTACACTGACTCACCAACACTGAACGAGACCAACACAACCGTTGACTCTAACAGGGACTGGGATATCTGCTACTTTCCCAGGAAGAATGACAATTTTAGGCAGTCAAATCATATTTCTGTAATATTGTGTGTTGGGCTTACATAGCCTGTCTACATAAACAAGTGAGATGCTTAATCTGTGCATTTCCTATACCATATTTACAAAAGGTAACAAACCCCAAAAGGTTTAAAAGGTTTGGTACTTTTATCAACTTGAAGGAACCAAATGTGTTAAAAGAATCAATCTGCCACTGCTAAGGAGTCCTATGGACATCACCTCTGGTTCCTTGTTGCTTTACAAGGAGGCAAGTAGGCCATTTAAGTAATGTTAAGCATAAATTCCAGTCATTACTTTGTTCCATCCTCTGAACTGTGAGAATGTTCAGCTTCTCTCTTTTATGATAGCCTTAATATCTGTTATTTGGACTGTTGGTTGGACAAACCTTTTTAGGATAGTGTTTAGATGCCATAACTAATGTGAGTGTGAAGATGTAAAGATCTTCATCATCTACAAACTACACCAACATCTATTCCCAGTGCTGTGTGAGGGGACCTGGGTTGCTGCACTCAGTGAGGCAGTCTCCCTGCCATTATACTGCCTTGTAGGTCACTGAACACTGTGAACATTGTTCTGTGCAAGTGTAAACAGATGGCTTATGCGTATGAATTTCAATGTGATAGTGATCATGTGTGCTTATGAAGGTTTGTCTTCCCGTGCTGCTCTTCCTTGATTTGTTGTGAGCCCTCTGGGTAACGCAGGCTTACTGTGTGTTACTGAGAGAGGGGAAACAATGAGTCCCGGGGATCACGCTAAAATCCCCAATGCCTCATTCAGCCTCCAGGTTGCCAGAGTGCCACCCCTAATTTAATTACCTCCCTCTGTCTGTCAGACCTGCTGCCTGCGCTGGCTGCTGTCCCTGCATTACATTAAACATACACACTCTCACAATGCACTGTCAGAGATCCATTGGGGAAAAGCGCAGGCGGCGGAGGCCAGTCTGTCAGAAATGAAGCAGGCTAGCGTTTGCACACACACCGACACACAGAGCAGCAGCACAATCCCTTCTGAGCAGGTGAGAGCTGTGCAGATGCTCTTCAGTCGGCAGGAAAAATAAGCCCTTAATTACTACCCAGTCTGTCTCTCTTTTCCTCTGTTCCTCTCCCTCCCCCTCATCCACCACTCCTCCGTCGCACTGCACTGCGGTTGCGGTGCTTGCCTCAAGGCTGGTGATTGCGGCGCAGGGCTCCTCCGAGAGTCTTCCCTTGTTATTATCCTTAAACAAGCAATTACAGTTCAGTCCCCGAGTGGAGCAAAATAGAGAGGGCACACCCATAGAAAAAGCTCTGGGTTCCCTGAGACAAACGAATAGCAAAGCCTTCCCGGGCAATTTTGTTTCTGGAATTGGCCGTGCACTCCCACCAGCGCTGCTGTGATGATGGAAGAAACGCTATGGTTAGCATGAAAACCAGTGAGTTGGAGAAAAGAAAGCAACGTTTAAATTAGCAGCGCTGAAAACAACACAAGGAGAATTGCTATGTTTGACATTAGACGGTTACGAAACACATTCTTCTATTTTCGTAAAGGCATCGCAGTGATTTTACTTCTGCCTGGGTTTTGGGGAAGAGTAAATGAACAGGCAGAAGAGGCCTCAGGAGGGGCAGCTCCAGTTCAGATGTTCAGCAGTCGAGAGACACGCCGGGAGCCTGAGCTGGCCCAGTCGATGGTGCAATGGATTTGTTGAGTCAAGGTGAGACAGGGGGGCTAAATGTTTCAGTGACCTCTCACCTTTGACCTGGGAAAGTTGCCTGGACAATTTAAAGCCAAAAAGTGATGGTAATTACTGCCAGGTTTAGAAACCTTTTAGTTTTTCATGTTCAGAATGCCATTAGTTTCTCTATTGGTTACCTAATTCTATAAGCCTGAGCCCTGTGCATATGCAGTCTCACAGGGCCTGAAATCTCTGCATATTTCAGCCCTCCGTTCTAACATGTACAATTAGTGTGTGATGCTCTTACCATAAGGTTTGTGCGAGAGAACATGACAGAACATTACTTTATAAGGTCCTTGGCGTAAAGCTGACCATACACTGTACGATTTTAGAAATATTGTTATCTAATTCCAACTTCGACTAAACGAGTAAATAGCCAAAGCTCACACTGTACGTGTACCCTACACACCATTCTAGCTATTGACAACCGTCACTAAAGTTTTGTTTGCTAGCAATTGCTAGCAAACAAACACCCTGCATTGATCATCTGTGCTATCCTGTGTGCCGACTGCCGTCAACATATACAGACTTTCTCCTGTTCACATTGGATGTGAGGAGGAGGAAACATCACAGTGGCAAACATGCCAAGTACACTTAAACAAAAGACAACGATCCCTTTATGCACAGTTGTGTTCAGGAACATTAACATAGGCCCCTGAGACCGGTAGGTTTAATGCCTAATGCTTGATGGTTATGAAAAACTTGAATTGTGATTCATGAAAGGAGCCTTTCCTGTAGCAAACTTTTTGTGCCAAGCTTGGAAGAGAAGGCAGAATATTTTTGTTTAAGACCAAGCCGAATGATAATCTATAATTTTGTAACGGAATCAAATGTTTGATCACTGCAACTGTATTTCTGTGTGTGTGTGTGTGTGTGTGTGTGTGTGTGTGTGTGTGTGTGTGTGTTAGTCTTGTTTGCCCATGAGGGTTGTGCACTTGATCAAATCAAACAGAAAAAAAATCTAAATTAAATTATGCTGCTGCCACAGCTCGACCGGCCTCCACATCTTCTGTCATACATACATGATGCATCGTGTCGCCAAGATGTCAGATGCTATGTTTGCCACTTCGCGCAAGCAAAGACTTAAGGTTTTCGACTCTTGGTTCTGTTATTCTGATATTCTGATATTCAGAAATTCATCCAAACATCCATTTTGGAGCAGCCAATTGGTTGTCGCACCCATCTGTACACTCACGCCCCTCTGTACAATGCACAGGAAACGACACCAAACAAAGCTTAAATTTGGTCCCCTTCTAATATGCGGTTCAAAAATTTGGTCAGAAACGGACTAAAATTGTACAGTGTCAGTCAACATCAAGACAAAGGTGGAAAAATCTTACATTTCAAGCTTCTAGCTGAAATAAGCTCTTGCCACTGGGGGGAGCCAAAGTTGGACATTTTCAAAAAAATGGCATTAAATGCAAAAATACTGGATTTGCAAAAATGCAGAGTTACAGGTTACCTACAGTCAACCAACGAAAACTGGACTTGGTTTCGAGTAGCTTCACCACACACTGACCAGTGCTGTTTTCTTTTTGCAGACCCAACTTTCAAAAAACAAAATCAAAGTAAAAGTCTCCTGGATCAGCTCTGTTACTGGGCGGGTTTGCCTCTTCTCTCCAGTTTCTGTTTCCTACATAACACTGAGTGCTGTGGTCTGGCAAACATTAATGCCAATTCCACCATTGCCCCCTATAGTACGTATTCCCCTCTCTCCTGTTTGCTTCCTTGAAGTTACATCACAGGCATTACCTCACTGCACAGCGTAGTCTAAACACACTCACTGTGATGTTGCCATAACAATGTGTTCCACTGGCTCTCAGCTCTGCCCGGCTCGTCCAGCACCGAGGCAGTCCATCTCTCGTAAAGCTGTAATGCCTCTCACCCGAGAGGCTGCAGGTCTCCACACTGCCCCCCCTCCCCAGTGCTGTGATGACGACAGACTGTTTTTCACAAGGAAAGCAAGAGAGGAGAATGGATTCACCAGATGTGCTGTATTAAACAGACAAATGGAGCATGGGAAAGCTCTTTATAAAAATAATGGTGCAATTTCAAAAAGAATGACTTCAGGGCTCAAGACTAAGAAAGCATTAGCTTTTAGCTTATTACAAGTCTTGTTCAATTTCTGGATTCATGATGAGAAGGGCTGAATTTCATGTTAGGAAGGAGTCAAGGCAAAGGAAGCATAATGGATGTTTCTTTTCTATCCAAAGTCTTTTTAATATATTGCATAGACAGCAGGGGTGCTCAGACATGTCAGAAAGCTCTAATAAATAGACATAAAGTATCCAGTCCCCCATTTGATATAATGTAGTCCCAGGGACCAATATGGGAAGATGCTGTTTTTGATTTACTATTGAGCTGTATACTCCTCTACACTATATGTTGGAAACTGGGTGAAAAGTTTGATTATAATGGCCATACTAATGCATTTTCCAGAATAAGTTAATTTCTACAGAACTGAAGTATTTCTCTCTTTGCTAAGATGGAAGTAACTAATTACAACTACTCAAGTTAATCTAATTAGGTAATTTTTTAGTTACTTGTACGGAGAGACTGCAGATCACAACCAACTGAAATCCCTTGACTAATCCAAGCACACACATAACATTTTTTAGTGAATATCGGCCGATAATATCGACCCTCCGATATTATCAGCCGATATTCACTAACAAATGTAATATCGGGACTTATCAGTATCGGGTTTTTATAACCGATGTTTGTTCTGTAGGCTTCAGCATTTCTGAGCCTGCATGAACGCAGCATGGGACGTTTACCGGCACGCGCTAGATGACATATTCATTCGATTCACGTGATGTCACTGTAGCTTTGCACCGCCATCTTTACGACCAACTCGGGCCGATCGCGCCATAGACAGTATTGTTCTCCACACTGTTTCTTTTAGTGTGAGAGCTCAAAGACCAGTTGCACATTTTGATTTGTTATTTGTTATCATGTAGGGCAGCTAATTAAACATGATGCCTGGAATGCAATAGAATGTGTTACGTTTTTATGTGTCAGATGGTGGGGGTACGCGAACCGAGTCAGCATGTGCGGGAAAAAAAGTTTGGGAACTGCTGCTGTAGCAGAAAGTGCTCACTAGCAGCACTGACATCAACAATGATCAGAGTAATCCACCACAAACTGTTCCCATACAGTCACAATCGCCTCGTTTCCCTTCATGTTCTTTCAATGAGTATAAACCATGGACTGTATAAATAGGTAGAATCACATCTGACATTACAGAACATTATCCAGATTAATGACAGACACACATCAGCTGCCAGGAGAGGGCAGGGTGGTGATGATGACACCGTTGCAAATGCAATGATGATTGGCTGGGTGGGTGGATGCCCTGCTCACACTGTCTCACTGCACGCTCTAACTACTACTGTAAACACAAGACAGAGACAATGGCGACGAGCGAGCCAGGGAAATCCAAAGGTAGCGATATCAAACTGGAATACCGACACTACTTCTCGCTTACTGAAGTTAAAGGCAAGAATGTTCATGTAACAGGCACTGTGCCCAGGAAAAAAGTCTTTATCCACGTCTGCCTCAAGTATATAACTATAACTAATTACTTTTTTAAAGTAAGATGCCCAACACTGCTTAGCTAACAACTCGCTACCTAGTCAGAGTAAACTACCACCAAAATCATACAGTTGAATTTTTTTTATATAATACTTACATTTCCCATGATTAAATATAAATCCTTGGTGGCCAGGTGCAGCACTTTAACGTCTTTCACCCATCCAGCCACAGCATACTGATAAGCATCGGTACTCTTGAAAGCCCCACTGTACGGGGAGGGGTTATGCACTAGATAAATGTATATATCATAGAAAGCCTATTGGGGCAAGCCTGGGGCAGATAATAAGGGACAAAAGAAAACTGGGGGTAACAAATAAAATTGAAATTTTCTCCAGATATCTCTGTCTCTCTCTCTCTCTCATTCAAATGGGCAGTGTGGGCGGGCCATACTGGGTGAGACTGGTCGTCAATATGGCGCCGTTCTATTTGATAGTGACGTAGGTGGCATCTATGAATAACAACAACAACTACACGCTAGACTGGTTGGTTGCTAACTGTAGCTAACAAGCAAACAATTTAAAGCTGAATGATTTTAATATTAACACAAAATAAATGCAATGCACCTTAAATATTTGACCCTGCTCTGAGCTGTTCCTTAACCAAACTAACAATTGGCTTAGAATTTACATTAGCACTCCTTCAGGTGCATAATACAATTAAACACATTAACCAAAGCTAGCGATTAGCATTAGCGCTCTTTTCAGTATTAATACAATGAAAGTTGAAGTTGTTCTCTTATTTTGCACAGACAGTGTTTACATTTGGAAAGCCATGTTGCATTTATGTATGCATCCAGTGGGGCATCACAATAAAATTAGGCATAATGTGTTAATTCCACAATAGGAGATATGTAATGTCTTTGGTGTAAAAAGCCTGCATATATTGGTATCGGGTGATATCAGTATCGGAAATTGAGAGTTGGACAATATCGGAATATCGGATATCGGCAGAAAAGCCAATATCGAGCATCCCTAATACTAACTGAAAACATACCTATAAATATTGTATTCTATTTCTGCTGATAAATCCTCTGATAAATTTGCGTCTGAGTTGGAACCACAATTTGAACTACATCCAAACCTTTCATATTAATTTTGTCGTCAGTCACCAGGGACACACGGTAGGCGGATGTGCCCTGCACATAGTAACCAATTGGGCGGTTCAGATAGAGTTGTCACGTGTTCTGCAGCAATTGCTTCGACGGCTGTTCTTTTTCCACACATTGTAAGCAAATCTGGCAAGAACCACACTGTGGGCCAGTGGACACCATGAAATTTTATTTTTTTTACCATCCACTGATTAGATGTTGGTGCTTTTCAACTCGATTACTAGATTTGAAGGATTTTAGTCATCGGACGTCTGGATCTTAAGTTATCAGAGAAACAAGCGGAGCTAACGTTAGTAGCTTTCTGTTTGTTTTGGAGAGGAGGAGTCCTCTGTGGATAACTGGGCTCCTGGTAGAAACCTCCTGAACCATGAACACTGAAGGAATCCTAACCGGGAGAAGCTGACTGCAGTGATGGCAATGGTGGTGAATACCACAACTCCCATGATCCCACACTACTTCACGATGTCATCAAACTTTGACTTTTGTTTTTTATGTGAGAGAGCCCCTAGTAGCAGAAATTACATACTGTTCATTTAACTCACTCTAAGACAAACAAATATGTGCATTTAACAAAAGTATTCACTTTCCTTAAACTTGTCAGCAGTAAATTCTGGGGAGATGCTGTTCCTAATCTGCAGCCCAAGTTTTCAGAGCACAAGTATACTGACCGATGAATGAACTAATTACTTGAAGCATCCCCACAGGGCACACCATGTCTACATCAGTAATTAGGGGTTGGCAATGAGATCAACTTTCTCAATGTCTGAAGGAAAACATACAGTATCATTTAAAAAGCACTGATGTGTTTGCTTTAGGGCTCTACCCAAATAGAGTGTTTTTTTTTTTTTTTTAATGTAAAGAGAATCCAGTACACTACAGATACTTTACTGACTGAACTACATCCTTCCTAGTACTTTTCCAGGCATGTGTTTGCTGATATACCAAGAACCTAATTTCCTGAATTTATTATAGAAGACAATGTGTGCTTTCTCTGATGTATTTGAGTATAACTGTTTGCTTTTGTTGCTCACTTTAAATATGAATTATAACACTGCCTGAACCAGATAATAAAATCAGATATGAGACCTAATTACTGCAGTATGACATTCTGCTCACAATCAGTCTTTCAAATAGCTTGAGGAGTTCAGCAGGAATGTGTGTGATCAGTGAAATCCATGCCAAAAGTGTGCCTGTAACACTTTTAGTGGTTAAAGCATGATGGTAACTAAGGCTTAATGGATCACACAGCGATCTGGTTTCGCATGTTTTAGCCCATTAACAACAAATCTGGGACATTTCATGCTGACCATTTTCCAAAGCACACTGTAAGTTTTGAGATTCATTTTCTGACTTCCAGGCAGTCATTTGATTTACATCATTCCAGTATGGTATAAAAATCTGTTTGATATGGGTAATCCATCACAGTGATGATTTCATCACCTTTCCTTTTTGCCACAGTTTAAAAACTGTCCCTGATGGTGAGTTTAAGGCTCATCCCAAATTGAGAGTTGGCTGACTGTTCAAACTCAGAATACAAACACCAAGCAAACACAAATCTTGTAAAAAAGAATATTAGTGTGCTTGTTTTAGTATTTGAGAAAGCAAAAGTTTGAATTATTCCCTATGTTGGTGAAGCCAACCATTATTTTGAGTGCTAAATTAACTTTAATTTTCCGTCCACTACTAGCTCAATGTCCCCAACTCTATGCTAACCTGATTTTATATATAATATTTTAACCTCGTTCCAGCATGTTCCCACCCAGCCCAGTCTCACACCAAAGTAATACATCCACTAGAGGATACCATGTCAGTGTGACATAATGCCGCGCCTAGATGTGAAAAGTACACGCATGAATGAAGGTGCAGTATAAAGAGCATCAAAGTCCATGTAGGGAAGATCACAAGACTTTCTTCCAGGAGACTGCTGTTCAAGTTCCATGTAAAACCAAAAGTCAAAGCTGACTTACTTTAAGTTTTGTATATAAGTTAGCTTATGTAACATACTTAACTTACATCAGGTCCATAACATAACTTGCAACCTCAGCAAGCTTTATTTTAAGCGCATAACTAGACTTTGCATATAGTTATTACTGCTAACTTTGCCGCAGAGTGAGCATGTGTTGAAAACGTGACACTGCCACAGTG